GAATGGAACACACCGAGCCCCACGGACGGCTCTCGAATGGGGGAAACAGGCAGTTGTCTGAGGCGTGATTTGAAGGGTATTCCCCACCACGCTCCAAATGATCCGCCGCGCTGCCCCCAAAACCACTGTTTGATCAACGTCTCCCTGCAGGCTAAGCATTGCCCGCTCCAAATGATTGCTAAAGTGTAGGGTTTCTTTGGGGGGTGTTGGAAACGTTCTAAAGTTAGTTAGCGGTGCTAGTTGCACAACTGTTTGAACACGCTACAAGCCGCTGAACCGTCCGCTTGAATGGCGAATGTCACGGTGAAATATGTGTCAATAAAGCCGCCAAAAAAAAAAAAAATCGCCACTCCAGACTGCCTGAAAGCTCACCATTCAAGCAGCTTCCCTTCTGGGTTAAGCATTGCCTTTGGGGGTTCCTTTTGGAAATGGTGAGTTGTTAAATATGAAGGGAGGGTACCCTACTGGGGGAGGGAATGGGAAGGTGTCCCAGGGAGACTAACCACTATGTTCACCGTTTGCCACATCCCATTGGTGGCCACGGGTGGCCCTGCCTTGAGCCAATGTCCTCAAACTTTAATCCTCATGGCCACATCCAAAGGTAGACGGCCGGGTGCAGGACGGAGGGCGTGCGAGGTTTAGACAGGCTACGTGGCCCTCTCGAGGTCGCTGAGCTCAGCGCCTGGTTTCAAACATCAACCCAGCCCCTCGTGGGTTGCGCAGCTTTCCAAATGTTACTTAACCCCTCTGATCCTTCTCTGAAAAGTAACAATGAAACCTTGCCCTCCTCTTTGGCGGGAGACGGTTGGGAGAAATCGGTGGTACAATTAGTAAGTTCACGGCATGGAGGTTTACAGCGTGAGCTATGGTCCCGGACATGGTGGTTTCAAGTCCCAGTTCCGCCACTTCCCGCTGTGTGACCTTGGGCAATTAGCTGGCTATGAGGACACAGGAGTCCCTACCTCACCAAGCTGTTATGAGAATCAAACATACGTGTGGCACGGGACCTGAGGAATAGAAATCAAAGCAAACTGAGGGGAGCCAGAGTGGCTCAGGCAGTTAAGTATCCGACTTCAGTTCGGGTCATGATCTCGCGGTCTGTGAGTTCGAGCCCCATGTCGGGCTCCGTGCTGACAGCTCAGAACCTGGAGCCTGCTTCCGATTCTGTGTCCCCCTTTCTCTCTGCCCCTCCTCTGCTCTCTCTCTCTCTCAAAAATAAACATTAAAAACATTTTTTTTTAAGAAATCGAAATAAGCTGTAAAGATTAATAAACCCGGGAATTCTCTCTGTACTGTAAGGGCTGTATCTGACGTGCCACAGTTGAATTCCTAATGCCTGCCCGACAGTTGGTGCTCAAGACTTATTACTAATTTTTTTTCATGATCTAGGATTTGAATCCACCTCCTTGTGA